TCTGGGGGCAGGTGAGGGAGAAAGACCAGCAGCCCCATCACAGGACTGAGCTGAGGATGGATGGGACCCTGCACGTGACACGCTGGGCGCAGGGCCTGGCATGCGGGAGGTCCTCAGGACACAGAACACCTGGGGACTTGCAGGTTAGGTTCTCAGGCTGAACCCCCACCTTCCCTAAATTTCACCAACTGGCTGAGCAGAGGGGAATGGAGTTGCTTATACTGGTGGCATAAAACCACAACCTGACTTCTCCCTACACGGAGAAGCAGGGAAGAGTTTAAGATTGCCATGATTCCAAATCCTAGGGGTGATTTAAAACACGTTTCGAAACAACTTTTATGGTATTTACTCATTTCCCAGTAATTCTGCAATCAAAGCCATTAATCAGTCCCAACACAGGATTTGCAGTAATAGAACACTGAGTTTTATGGTCATTACAGGATGGTTGCATTAAAGAAATGCTGTATTTGAGATGCAACTGCCTTGAGTGAAATCAAAGGGTTTCTCACCCAGGCTCCCATTTGAGTCAGTCGCTCTCCTCTGTTATGAGATGTCTAGGTGTCTGCACCCAAATGTGGTTTGACATTGTCAACGTGCCACTACCTCTGAATGAGGATTTCAAACACTTTTTGAAATCTATCAGCAGGAAATCAATGGCACAGAGTTAGGAAAACTCATGAAGGATTCAATAAAGGAAGAATTTAAAGAGGTGCGGTTGGGTGTCAGGAAACCAGAAGGGAGAGTGCAGCTCCGGGGGTTGCTACAGAAGGAGAAAGCTTCACAGAGAAGTCTTCCTTGAGAGGACCTGGGTCCTCCAGTTGAGAGCTGTGACCTTGCCCTGAGGGAGCTGGGGGAATAAATACCCTACGTCCCTCTCCGCCACCCATCTCCTGCTCTGGTTCCCAGTTGGCTAAACCCACCTGGGCAGCAGAGGGCTAGAGAGCCCTTGATCTGCCCTTGATCTGGGTCAGCCGCCCAGGGAAGAAAGCAGGTGGAAGGAGAGCAGAAGAGGGGCCTGGAAGATCATCTGTCAGAGGAAGGTGTGTTTTTCAATTTTAGATACACATATTTGGGATGTAACATATAAAGGGGTTAACACGTAAAGAAAAACTAAAAAATAACCTGAGTGGCTGGTAAGCTGAAGAGTTGCAAAAATGCAACATGGAACTTTAAAGGCTAAAGTGTTATTTTAACTCAAACTAAACTTCAATCTAATGGGAACAAAAATATAATCACATAAAATTCGCATGAACATAATGTCAGTTAATCAACACTGTGATCTGGTACCCACTGGGCCTGGGTGTGTGTGCGAGCCAAGTGGCTCTGACACTCAGGATCCAGGGGTCCAAGGCACCTGCTGTGTGTCACTCAGTCTTAGGCTGACAGCTGGTCTCCAGGGATTAGGTAGGAAGGGAATAACTACGCAGACACGTTGCTGTGCTGGATTTCTCTGAGGCAAGAAGTGAAGATGTGGTGCCTATCACAACACCCTCACTAGGGCTGGGCTCTGTGGCTAGGAAAGTTTCTGAGAGTCACTGTCATTCTTGACTCCTGATTGCCAAGACCTGCTGTGACCTAATGTCCAGCCAGCCCAAGTTATGACGACAATAAAAGAATGAGGAAGGCAACAAAGGCAAGAAAAGGGAAGAGTAAACAAATAGCCAGGAGCCCTGGGCCAAGGCAGAGCCACAAGCAGACACAAAGAGACACGTGAGACTATAGCCAGGGAGAAACAAGGGTCAGAAGAATGGGGAACTGGAAAACAGTGAGACAAGACAGCACTTAGAGACTTCCTGGTTTTGGTAGTAGACGTGTTTATTTTAACAGTTGCTAATAGCTTGGGTTTGGGCCTTCAGAATCAATGCTCACTGCCCTTGGAAATACTGACAAACTCTCCAATGATGGAAATGACTATCAACCTATTTATTTTTGAAATGAAGGCATATTTTATCAATGAGTTTGATTAACGAGTTCTACAGATTTTAAAAAATAGAATGTGATGAAGCAGATAAAAAGGCGGGTTTTTAGAAATTTACACTTGACTCATTAATTCTGCTTGGGGGTGGGAGTGGATAGTATTCACTTGAGGATATGTTTGAATTAGACCCCGGTGGATTTCCAGGCCAAGTGCACAACGCGAGGCCTGGGGCACCGAACAGCACATGGGTGTGGGGCTCAGGGAGTGAGTGGCAAGGCCAAGTTCAGAGGAGGCAGGACAGGGCCAGGGCTGGAAAGACAGGCCTCTTAAAATATGAGCATGAGACTTGCTCTTTCCACCTCATGGGAGAGTGTAATGAAATGTAGGCAGAAACGCTTCCGATATTGAGACACTAACTTGTCATCCATGCTTCTAGGGTTTTCATGAAGAGAAAAAACTCAGGCCCGCCATTTTGCCAATAGGAAAACCGAGTAATGTTTAGGAGATATGCAGAACTGACGTAGAACATATGCAGTCATTTATGAGACAAAGTTGTATATGAAAAGATGTTCTGCCTCGTATTTGTTTCCTAGCAGAACCACTGCTGGATGAGCAGACATCGTGAAGTTAGAAATTCATATACCATATGCTAGGATGACTAGCCCTAAATCAGTCAACCTTCCATCAGATGTTTGAGGCAATAGAAGACACGTAACTTATAATCTAGTTAGAGAGAAACATATAGAAGAATCAACAAGAAAATAACACAAGGCAGAATTTCACAAAGAGCTTAACTGGGTAGTTCTGGCTGTCAGGGTGACAGGAATTCAAAGACAGGCCCGGGTGGGGTGTTGGCAGATTCTCAGGGAAGTCAAAAGAGATGCCAGCTAAGCCCGGAAGGATGGAAAGAATCTGAACAGTGCAAAAGAGGTCAGGGTCTGGAAGAGTTAGTACTAATTCTCAGAAGCCATTGGTTTCTGAAATGTTTGGGTCGAATGAGAAAGAAGCTCTTGGTGACTTCAGCCCCATAAAGTACCACTAGAGCATCATTCAGATGCCAGCTTCATTCCTCCTGGGAGTTGTCAGGGTTGATAAACAATAATGATGCCGTCTGTTGCTGGTGAGGATGCTGATGCCAACAATAGCCATTGGGATTTCCTGATGTTGACATTTTCTGGATTATGTTTTTTTTTAAATCACAACCAAAAAGTATCAAAACAGCCACAGATAACTCAACAAAACATTTATGGAATAAATAATACACAAAGTCTTCTAGAAAATTGAAGAGAAGGGAATACCTCTAAACCCAATCTATGAGGCCAGTGTTACCCTAATACCAAAACCAAACAAAGAAATGACAAGAAAAGAAACTATAGACAAATTATGAACACAGAGGCAAAAATTCTTAACAAAATTTTAGCAAATCAAATCCAACGATATACTAAAAGGATAACACATCCTAACCAAGTGGGATTTAACCCAGGAATTCAAGATTGGTTTAACGTTCAACAAGTACTCAATCTAATTCCTCATATCGACAGCTTAAAAAGAAAAACTATATGATGACCTCAGTAGATGCAGAACAAGCATTTAACAAAATCCTACTTCTGTTCCTGATTAAAAACTCTCAGCGAACTAGGAATGGAAGACAACTTCCTCAACTGATAAATGGCAGCTATGAAAACCCCACAGCTAACATCAAACCTAATGATCAAAGATGAACATGTTCCCCCTGTGATCAGAAAAAAGACAAGGGCGTCTGTTCTCATTCCTTCTGTTCAACATTGCACTGGAGATTCTGGCCAGTGCAGTAAGCAAGAAAGAAGGATCAAAGCTTTGAGTGGCTCAGACCTGACACTGGAAGAGGGACCGGGTCCTCCAGGAATGCCTCTGATGTCCTCCAGCACCCGACCAGACATCTGATAAGTTGTTGACTCAAACCAGCTTGGCCACTATGTAGCTGTGAGACCTTAAAACATCCCCTCCCTCCCCTCCCTCTGCCTTTGGATATTATTTCATTTTATTTTTAATTCTCTTAGAGCTTCAGGTTCCTAAGTGATGGGGTGGGCATAACAGCCACCCACTGCAGATTTGTTGTGAAGACTAAATGGAATAAGCATATGCATAAACTGCAAAGGGCCACTCCAGCATCTGGTTTTGCTACACTCATGCTGAGTAGCAACGGGAACTATGTGATCTGCTAAGAATGCAGGCTGGTAGGTGTGAGGGTTTGGGACTTGAGGAGCAAAGTGTAGAGTAGGAAGGGCTGGGGCTAGAGGTGTGGGCCCAGACAGGAGCAGGCTCTGGGGCAGCCAGCTGGAGCTGTGCCTCTTCTTCTCCTGGGAGGTGGGGGTGGGGTGGGGCATGGCGGCCAGTGGGAGGAAGGGATGGGGACTCCGGAGCCGTGGATCAGACCTGTTAGCAGGTCTCCTCCTTACTCCTCGGCTCCCTTTGCTGACCTTTAGAAGCTCCCTCCACCCCTAGAGACTCCTCCTAATTCAGAGGAAAGTGATCTGATGAAAATAACCCACAGTAGGACACCAAGGGTGATGATTCAACATTTGACCTCTTCTGGGAGCATCTGCTTTTGAAAAGAGCCCCAGGACGAAGGCAGTGCCTAAAGTGACTCACCAGGAGCGTGGGGAGGGCGAGGGCTGGGCTCCTGCCCATGAGATATTTTAGGTCGTATTCTTCTGCACCGAGTCCCCTCCTCTCAGACTGAGTTGACTGCCTGCCTGCCCTGTAGCAGGAGCCAGGGGAGAAGACCTCAGGAGAGGATGAGGCAACTTAGCCAGAGGAAGCAGCATGAGGGGCAAAGGTCAGGATGCGGAGAGGAAGATGTGTCTATTTCACCGTCCATAACTGGTCGGGTGAGGGGGACTCAGTGATACAAAGGCCAGCCAGGCTGCCCAGCCACAGGGGAGTGGCCAGGAGGGCCGGGGGCTAAGGAGGGTGACACTGGCATGTTTACGGTATGTGTGCCTTTGTCAGTGCGCAGCTGCGCATCTGGGCAGGTGGGAGGAAGCAGATTTCCATCGCTCTTAGAATGAGCTCCCGAGGTCTTTGTGTGAAGGAGACAAACCTTTAATCGAGGAATCATGAACCATTGTGCTCCAGATCTGGGAACAAACACTTGCCCTGTTAGACAGCTGCTTCCAACAGTGGGGAGCTGCAGGCAGGGCCTTGATCTGTCCACCACTCAGCTCGGCCAGTCCTCCTGCATACCTTGCGTGGTTTTGAGAAGCTGTATCACTTCTGAACATGTGACAGTTGTGGCGTGGATCTAAGGTGTGGATCCTGGGAGCTTTAACTGTAGAAAACAAGGAGGAATAAAAGAGTGTTTTAATCCTCTTTGGCTGTGATCTTTTTTAAAACTCCAGGAAGGATGATAACTGATAACTGCTTCAGCTCTTGTTATCATCAGTAACCATAGTTCTAGTGGTCCAATATCCAAACCCCTTCCTGAGCTTGGGGGCCCCTACCCTCTACAGAAACTGAAAATGCCAGGTCCTCATTCTCCAAGTCTCTCGTGCAGCTCAGGCCTGAGTACAGCCACAGGCTCCATCCACCCAAAGACAGAGCTCAGACTTTGATGCAGTGGAGCGTCAAAGGCAGGAGGCTGACCGAGGTGACAGCAGCCACCTGCCTTGTGTGGGCATAGAGGAGGTTGGTATGTGTTGCCAAGCAGTGAGCTGACTCGCCCACAGTGGCCCCAGCATTGCCTCGTCCTTGGCTCATTTTGGACTCGGACCGTTTGTTCTGGTAGCTCAGCCGTGCTGCCTGGAACAAAATAACACCACTCTGGGCCCAAGAACTTTTCTTGCAAATGTCTCTTGCTCATTTGCCACCCGCCCTTCCTAAACCCTTCAACGGTCAGCGTCCTTGCTCCAGTTTAACCTGTGCACGTGAAGCTGGGCATCGATGGCCCACGTGTATACATCTGTTGTTTAGCGTCCACCCAGAGCTGGTCCTGGGCCTGGCACAGGGAGACACCAGAAAGTACATGACGAATGAAGCACTTCTTATGAGAATCACAAAATGAGCCAACAGTGTTAAAGGTGAAAGTGGTCTTAGAGGTCAGCTCTGCTTCAGAAATGAGGACTTCATGGTCTAGAACGATTTCACGCTTCACCTGAGGTTTCCCTTTAGCATGATTTCTGCCACACTCCACTGCTTCCTACTGGGGGCATTTATTTGGCAAACACAGTAATTCATTATAAAGTTCAATGAAAAGTTCCTTGATCATTTGGAGTAATTGGAACTCTTATTTGCTGCTGGTGGGAAGGTAAATTGGTACAATCACATGCCACAACTATTGGCAGGATTTATTAAGCCATAGCCTATGATCCAGCAATTCCATTCTTGGGATTAACAACAGAAATGTGTACATGAGTGCATCAAAAGTTATGTACAATGTTCATAGCAGTGTAATCCAACAGAACCCCCAAATCCTGGAAACCACTTAAATGTCCAGCAGAGGAATGGATACATTGTAGTGTGTTCTCACACTGGAAAACTATACAGCAATGAAAATGAAGCATGGCTACATGACTCAAAGATGAATCTTTGAGTAGTGGGGAGTAGAGAGGATTGGCAATGGGCATAGAACAGGCGGCTTTAGAGGCACTGATGATGTTCTATTTCTTGAAGGATTACCAGGTGTTTACTCTGTAAAAATTCATCTCACTGTACACTTACGATTTGTGTACTTTTTTATGTGAGTTATGCTTTAATAAAAATGTTTATTTTCTAAAAATCTCTGAAAACCCAGGTAAACAAGATTGGTTAACCCATTTTAGAGATGAAGCCAAAAGAATTTATAAGATTAAAAAAAAGAAAAAAGGTGTTTGATTCACCAAACTAAATCAAAGTCCATACACTGAAGCACATGGCCCTGGTCCCTGAATGCTCACGCAAGGCCTCACTCACAGGCATCTGTGATGATTTTAGACATATTTCTAACACTTTTGGGGATCTGTCACTTTAGTCCACGGCATATTGAAAACAGAAAATCTGCTAAATGTATGGCTGTGCTAGGAGAGAAGTCTAAAGCCAACACTTTAATGGCAGAAATGAACATCAGGAGGCAAGAACTCCAAGTGCATATTGGTCAGGGCCATTTAGTACAGGGCAAATGCCTTATACACCAGCTACAATTCATGAGAAGTTCCTTGTCTTAGAGAAGAGTACAAATGTTCAGATGTTCAATTCATACTGACGATTCCCAATCCTTACAAAAAGTTCAGATCCTTAGTGTAGTAGGTGGAGAACCAAATAGATCATTTCAGAAATTGCTCCACAACAGGATCAGAGAATTGCAGAGGTGAACACGGGCTAAGGCAAGAGGCCAGGAGCCATTCTGCACTCAGGTCCAGGGATGGGCTCAGAGCAGCCATGGCAGAGCTGGGGGGTGTGGGGTGAGGGCGTCCAGGAGCCCTGAGAGAAGCGAGATGGAGGCCAGGGCAGCTGGACTTGGTCAGGATCCATTCAACATTCAAGGGTGCCCCAGTAAGAGTTAAAAACAAAAGATAACGAGACCGGTCATAGGGCATCATAGGTAGTTTGAGATTTTATAGAATGTATAGTTTTCTAAAAAATTGTGAGCGCCATCACACATTCCATTTCTTGCTCTTCTAAACGATGGCAGGTGGAGGCCTCATCAGCTGGCCAGGCTTCCTTGGACAAGGCTGGGGTGGAGGCTTCTGTGCCCTACAGGCCTCTGGGCCTCCCCAGTGTTCCACCGATGAGGAAGGTGGCCGATGCTATTCCTTTGCCTGGAATGGGTTTCCCTCTCTCCGCAGCCCATGCGCTTTTCTGGCCCTGCCCCTGTCCCCAGAGCTAGGTACACTCTGGGACCTGGGCTGGCTGGTTCACCTGCCTTGGGGCAGGAGCAGCAATGACTCGTGAAGACGTGGAACAAAAGGCACCTGAAAGGAGGCCTCAGCTCCTCAGTCTTTTGAGGATTTCTTTGCAAGCTTAGAAAATGAACATCCCCGAGTCTCCACATCATCACTGTTTTATTCCACAACCAACTGTCCCCGAAGCTTTTGGACTGTCTCCACTACTATCTCAAAGTACAAGTACAGCTGACGGAAAAGAAAATGTCATGTGTGAATGAAAGCAAACAAAACTCAACAACGTGGCAGAAATAGGAACAATGACACGAGGGGAAGAATTGAAGCAGGCTGCCAGTTTAAGAAGGGAGGTGTTGTCACAGCCTGGGGATTAGCAAATTTGAGGTTTGCAGAGAGCAAAATAGGGAGGCAACCTCAGAGATGGCAGAATTATAGTAATTACAATTGTTTTCTTTCTCTATAATATGCACAAAGAGTAAATGCTAAAATAATAATTCATTTTAAGTAATGGGTGGGGCCTCGAGAGACAAGAGAAGGACCAGTGCTCAGAGGGGGTTTACAGGGGCAACAAGGATGAGGAAAACACCATCCCGGGAGCATGATCCTGGCTCTCAGAATTAAAGGGAAGTACTCCACTATTCGGGGAGAACTTTGTCAGCGTTTGGGGGCCACATTTGTAATGTTAAATTAGTGCTTATAGAATAGGCATGGCTTTACGGAGTAATTCCAGTAAGCATGGGGGCCCTTAAAACTATTTTCTCTCATTCAGACTCTGCAAAGCAATATTAACAGTTGAGGTCAAAATTCAGAGAGGAGATTGCGTGAGCCTGGAGCTGCCAGGTGTGACTGTGCGGGAGGTGCAATGCCTGACTCAGTGCCCGACTCGAGGGGTCGCCATCACATTGTCGTCGATGTAGAAGGTGCATCTGGGGTTGAGCTGTGCACACCCTGCCCACGGATACCTGGCAGCCACAGCAGGCCCGTGGCGCGGCCAGTTTCTTCTGAAAGTTTCCTTATCTGTCCTTTCTCATGATACTATTGAACGTAGCCTTTTCCAAACTTTCCTATGACCCTTCTCCAAGCCTCCGGCCCCCACCCGCCACCGAGCAGATGTCACCTCCCCCTTCCCGGGGAAACCCTGGCTAAAGGATGGAAATCATGTTAACTTCCTGCCATCTCATCTGAATACGGCTCTCCACCTGGACCCACCTCTGCCTGTCGTTCCCCCCACCCCCCTAGCTTCAGGGGCAGCAGCCGCCTGCCCCTCACTCATGTTCCTCATAGAGGCCTTCTCAGGACTCAGACCGCAGTAGCAGGCGAGTCCCTGGCCTGCACAAGAGGGCCCTCTCCTGGCCATGCCCTTCTGCTCCCAGTGGAGGGAGGGACACACGTCCACCCTGGTTCTCGCCACCCCCCTTCCTGAACGTGCTCTGGATACCAGGGACCCCAGGACCTCCTGCCCAAATGGCCCCAGATGGCCTCTGTGGGCCTCGTCCCTGGGCTCCACGTGTACACCCCCAGGCCCAGGCGTGGTAAAGAGGAGGCTGTTTGTGAGGGTCGGGGAGAAGGTGGGCAGGTTTCCAAACATGTGCACACGTGTGGCCTCATGATGCCCAGTGCAGCAAGGGGTGAAAGGGAGGGGGCCCGGCGCTGGCATGGCTGTCCCCATGCCACCACGTCTTCAGCAGAACTCCACGGAATCTGAGAATTCTAGATTGAGCTCTGGTCCTCTGAGTTGTGAAGGTGTGTTTGCTGAGGTAGAAGGTATTTTATCTTACAGTTCATCAGCTTGACTTGTGCATGTAAATAGCAAGACACGTGCTAAGTAGGCCTCCATTTGTACTCTTGCCCTGGACGCTGCAAATGTTAGCGTCAGGCCTATTTTCAATTTCTCTCTCTTTCCTGCCTTTAAATATTTCCATGCATCTGTCAGGTGAAAAATTAGCAAACAACTATGTGAATAGTTGTAAACTATTCAACTGCCCACCCCTCTCTGGCCTGAGCTCTCTCCTAGATAAGGTTCGTTTAAACAATAAGGCCCTCCACAATCATCACTAGGGACTGCAAGTCTCAGGAAAACAGTGATGGACCAGAAACTGCCTCTGCCCACGTGAGCTTGTAATCCGCGTGACATAATGTGTCCTGTGATGGAGGAAACAGGCCCCTGGGAGCGCCTCCTTGAGGGACATCGCACTCGGTTTAAAGGTGGGAACGGAGATCAGAGAAGGTCCCTGAGAGGTGATGTCCACAGAACAAATCCAGACAAGACTGTGATCATCTCTGAGGGGCTCTGTCAGCTTCTGGTTGTAGTGGGGCTAATTCGGCCTGCACATCCCTATGAACAGGCACTGCACGCTCTGCTCCTGCTCCTCTCGTGGCGGCTGTGGGTTGGGGATTTTGAGGGTCTCGACTGCAGCTTCAAGGTTACTTCGCATCATCAAGGAGTCCCATACCAACTGGAGCAGCCATCGTTCATACAGTGAGCAACGCCCATTGTACTTCACACAAGTTATCAAGAGAAGGCGGCAGCGTGTCTTCCATCCAATGATGGAAGATGATCCCAATACCCACTACTTTTCCTGAAATTGATGAGACAGTTGAGTAGATGCTTTACATCTCAGGTGAGATGGGGTAGCTTAACAAGCACATTAGAACAACATGGGGGTTGGGGGCCCACCCACGTAAAACTGAAAATCTGCGTATAACTTTACAGTCAGCCCTCCAGATGCACGGTTCCACATTCGTTGATTCAACCAGCCGAGGACTGTATAGTACTGTAGTATGTATTTATTGAAAAAACTCCTTGTGTAAGTGGACCCACGCTGTTAATTTATCTCCAGCAATAGATATGGAAGCATGTGAGCTACACCTGAGGCAGTACGTGTGGACTCCCTGCCTGTGTCACGGTGTGCAGTGATGGTACCACCAAGGTGGACGTGGAACATGTTTCTCCCTAGCCCAAAGCTTCTCCTCCTTGAGTGGATGTGCTCCCGCATTTCTCTCACCCTCTTCATTGCTAATCATCTGTCACTGCTCTGCCACTCAATCCTTGATGACTCCGGCAACTGCCCACAGGGAGTTTCTGTCCAGTGGAAAAGAAAAATCTATTGTCTCTCTTCCCCTGCTAGACAGGGGCTTCCTGAGAGCAGGGACTATTCTGTTTTGTTTGTCCTTGTCTCTATCCCCGGGGCTGGGCATACTACAACTGCTTAATTGACAGCAGATGACTAAGAGTGATGGGAGCACGGAACAGGAGTTTTAACCAAACCAGAGGGATGGGGAAGGCTAAAATAATAGCATGTCAGCCAAGACAGGAAAAGTGGGTGGAAATAAATGAGACCCCAGGAGGGTGGTTTGGGGAGAAAAACAGCTTCCAGGCAGAAGCAGTAGCAACATGGGTAAAGGCCCTGAGGGAGGAGGGAACACAGCTGGTTGGTGGAACTGACAAAAGTGAAAACTGGACTGGAGTCCAGAGAGCTGGGTGAGAGGCAAGGTTGGAGACGTGGGCAGCTCTCTGAAGGCCTGTAAATCCATGTTGTGGACATTGGACTTCATTCTAGGGAACATGGGAAGCCACTGAAGGGTTTCAAGTAGAGGGCACAATCTAAACATTGCACATCTGTATTGTTGAAGAGGTCATATGGAATTGTATGTGGGAACTGGGTTGGAGGGACCAGAGGTGAAACAGAAAGATAAAAAGGCAACGTAGGAGTCCTCAAGGGAGATGATGGTGGCTGGAGTGGGGTTATAGTGCGGAGGTGACCGAAGGGGAGGAGTCAAGGATGCCACCCAGGTTTCTAGTTTGAACAACTGGTGAATAATGGTGGCATTTGCTGAGATAGGAAGTGCTGAAGGAGGAGTGTGTTTGGAGGAGCAAGGAGGAGGATGAATTCTGCCTTTGCCAAGCTGAGTGTGAGATGCTGAGTGTGATAAGCATCTGAATTTATATCTAGGCAGGGAATTTTATATCTGGCTATGCATCTTTGGAGAAAGATCTAGATAAGGGATGCAAATCTGAAAGTGATCTGCATTTATATATATATTTTTAAAATTTTTGGCTGCCTCGGGTCTTTGTTGCTGTGCACAGGCTTTCTCTAGTTGTGGCGAGCGGGAGCTACTCTTCGTTGCAGTGCGCAGGCTTCTCATTGCGGTGGCTTCTCTTGTTGCACAGCGTGGGCTCTTGGCACGCGGGCTTCAGAAATTGCAGCAGGTGGGCTCAGTAGTTGCGGCACGCAGGCCCTAGAGCGCACGGGCTCAGTAGTTGTGGCTCGTGGGCTCCAGAGCACAGGCTCAGTAGTTGTGGTGTGTGGGCTTAGTTGCTCCACGGCATGTGGGATCTTCCTGGACCAGGGGTTGAACCTGTGTCCCCTGCATTGGCAGGTGTATTCTTAACCACTGCGCCACCAGGGAAGGCCCTGATCTGCATTTAGATGGTACCTGAGGCCCCATGAGTTAGTAAAATGTCTGGGGAAAGTATAAACTGAGGAGGTCAGAGGGCCTTTGACCAAGCAACAAGGAACCCTCGATATGTAAGGACTGAGAAGGAAGAGCTGGTTCCAAGCCTGGCTGATCATTAGAATCACCTGGGAAACTTAAAAAATGTATATCTGCTGGGCAGGATGTGTCTACATAACCTATATATATATTTTTAATTTTATTCATTATTTTTTAAAAATATTTATTTATTTGGTTGTGCTGGGTCTTCGTTGCAGCATGCAAACTCTTAACTGCAGCATGCATGTGGGATCTAGTTCCCTGACCAGGCATTGAACCCAAGCCCCCTGCATTGGGAGCATGGAGTCTTAACCTCTGTGCCACCAGGGAAGTCCCACATAACCAATATTTTGAAAAAACTATAGTATGATTAGAAACCATTTGGTAGAAGAAAAAAACTGTCAAAGAAAGGATCAGTGGTTAGGAAAGAGGAAAATAAAAGAATGGTGATGTTCCAGATCCCAAGGGATTAGGCAAAATCAGGACTGAATTTTGCACTGGGAAGCCAGATGGTGAGACACCCACTTGTCAGATTCCTCCGTAGTAGGGGACTGGTGTTTGAACTCAGAAAAATTTACTAAGGGATTATGGAAAGGTGCCCAGCAGAACACCCTGTGTTCAATGCCCTCATACACGCATGCACAGGGTGGGTGCAAGGGGAAGGGGAGGGAAAGGAAGGTGCATCAGGTGGCAGGGAGCTTTTCATTGGAAGTAGCATCTGAACTGCAGCATTCCTAGGAGAGGAAATAATGGGAAAAAAAACTATGATGAGTTAAGAGAACGATGTACACTCTAGGCAAGAGTTAGTCCCTGGCTGCAGGGACTTAAGTGTTGGGAATGGAGCAAGAAAAGGGGGCAGAGCCCAGTTATTAAGGATCTTATATGCCAAGGTAAAAGAGCCCTGAAGAACGTAAGAAAGTAAGTGGCACGATTAGATTTGTGATTTAGTTAGCCCATTCTGGCAGCCAATGTGAAGAATGGCCTGGGGTCAGGGAGGATTAGGAAAAGATGGAGGCTCAAACTTCCATCAAGAGGCTGTGACACAATATTGTAAATCAACTATACTCCAATATAAAATAAAAATTAAAGTAAAAAAAAGAAATGAAACAAAACGAGGCTGCAAGAGGTGTCTTGCAAGGACCCAGATGAGGGGTGATGGATTCACCAGGATAGGAAGAGAAGTGAGTGGGGAGCTGACTGGAATGAGAAGAGAGTAGGCCCAAGAAGCCAGGATCAACACCTAGTTTCTGGCTAGGTGAGTAGTTGGTGGGAGATGTCAGTCTGAGATAAGGAATAAGGAAGACTAGATTTAGGGGAAGATAGGGGTGGAGACTGGAGTACAGGAGGGAACATTTCAACACTGGTAGCTTACTCCTTTCTCCAAAGGAGAAAAGATGTCAGTAACATCATTGCTGGTTTCCTATTCTCTTTCTCTCACCTGTAAGTCATTCTGCAGCCTATTTCCTTCAAGTACCCAGATTCATAAATACTACTTTCCTGTATCAGAACACAGAAGCTTCACCCAATTAATGCAAGGGGTTTTCATTTTTTAATTACTTCATTTAAAAAACACTTATAATGTACCAACGACTTGCAAGGTACTCGTGAACCTGGAAAAGAAAAGTAAGCAAAACATAACTGGCCTTCCCCTTTTAGAGCTTACTTCTAGCAGAAACCAAATGAGAAAGGAACCAACCAATTATAAACCATGTAATTTATGTCATGAAGATTTGAAGAAGTACAGAGTATCATGTGGCAAATAACAAGAGGGAGGGGTGTTCCATTGAAGTTCATAAATAGGTTTTAGCAGATTTGTGAACTGCTGAAATCTGTATGTAAGATTTTGTCTGTGCCTGTATAATTTGGTGGGGGGGGGCAGAAAGGCGAGCTGAGATGCTCAAAGGGGTCCGTGACCCCTTCAAGGTTAAGAACCACTCTACCGTTCAAATCCATCTGGGCACCAGGGTACACAAACTTGTGCGCGACAAGGCCGCGACTAAGGGGAATGCTGGCAATCTGGCGGTCTGTCTAGTCCACAGAGAATGACCTTACCTTTACACTTAGAGACATCAAAAGCGATCAATCTTCTGACTTAACGTGAGAAGAGACAACGTGGTGATTAACTTTTTAAAAATCCAGTTGTTTTAAAAAGATCACGGGATGTTCTAATCCTCAATCCCTGGGGACGTCCAAGCACGTGCCCGGGTCCGAGCTCGTGAACAGCAGCACTCCGCCCGCCAGACACCCTCCCGCCCGGAAGGAAGAGACAGCTCCGAGCTCCGCCTTTTACATTTGGCCGAGAGAAGTCAACGAAAGCTTTCGGAGTCCAGGCCGGGTTTTCAAAAGCATTAAGACGGAAGTAACGGCGGGCCGGAAGTTCCAGGGCCTGCACTGGGACCAAGTGGGGAGGGGGTAGGAGGAAGACTCGGGGTAGGAATGGCGGCTCAAATTCCAATTGTGGCCACCACTTCCACTCCGGGGATAGCCCGGAACAGCAAGAAGAGGCCGGCCAGTCCTTTCCACAACGGCAGCAGCGCCGGGGGCTATACCGCCAGTAAGAAGAAAAAAGTGTCCGCCTCTGGCTTTGCGCAGGTACGCCGTCACTCCCCTAGTCTGCGCGTTGCCGGGGCGGAGAGCGCGTGCGCCGGGCTGCGGGGCGGGGCAGTGGGAGGCGGGGCGCCTCGCGTGGGCGGGGCCCTGCAGTCGTACCTCTTGGGTAAACGCAGGTGTCTGGTGCAAATGAAACATTTTTTCCCCTTAGTTTGCATACGTGGAGTTTGGTTAAAGAATGACCCGCGTTGCATTGTCCATGAGGAGAACTGGGGAGGTGGGGAGGTTGTTATTGCCTTACTAGTAGGGACGCCCCTTCCCGTCGGGGTCGCGATTAGAGCGAGGCTCGGGACTTTTCTTTATGTGAGTTTCAGTCAACCAGAAGTTCTCCTGTCTCACCTTCGTCCATTCTGCAGACATTTACCGAGTGCCTGTGAGGTGCAGAGCGCCCTAATGAACGGTGTGGAGGAACACAAAGATGTATTGATACAGATGATTTCCCTCATCCTCAGAAAAGTGCTTTTTTGACCCTAGTTTCCCTGTCCCAAAGTGGATTTGGTCTTATCTCATGCGGTTGTTATGAGGATTCAATGAGATCATGGTCCTAAGCTCTGAGCACAGCGCCTGGCACAGACTTCACAGCATCTGGGAGATCGGGGCTCTGCAATTGCTTCATTTTATTTAAAGCAATGAGAAAGCAAAGATGGAGTGTGTTATTTTGTGCTCTCCAACACATGGCGTGGCATCCTAAACCCAGAACGACATTCTAGAGATATTAACTGTCTATGGCTTCCTCCGTCGATAATTGGTAGTGCATTTTTTCCTTTTAAAATACTTTATTGATGTATGGTTTGCATACAGTACAATGCCCAAATCTTAAGAATACTGATCAATGACTTTACATATGTATCCACCGATGTGGCCACCATCCAGATTAAGATAGAGAGCATTTCCAAGGGCCCCAGAATATTCCCTGGTGACCCTTTCCGGTTAGTACTCTCTTCCCTCCCTGCCAGAGGTAACCAGTACTCTGACATCTCTCACCATAGATTGACTTTGCGTTTTTGAGCAGAATATAAATGAAATCATACAAAGCATATTCTCTTGTGTCTGTTTGGATTTCTCTGTGAAAAAAATGTTTGTGAGAGTTATTCATTCATTCATGTTATTACCTGTATCAGTACGTAGAGTATATTGTGTAAATATACCACAACTGATGGACATTTGAGTTGTTTACAGTTTTTGCTCTTATGCGTAAGCTGTTCTGAACATTCCTAAAAATCTGGGTAGATACATGCTTTCATTTCTCTTGGGTCAACGGATAGTGGTGGAATTGCTGGATCATGAGGTAGACACACATTGAACTTAGAAACTGTTAAACAGTATTTCCCAAGGTAGTTGCACTATTGTGCATTCTCAGCAGCAGAGTATGAGAGTTCCAGTTGCTCTACATCCTCAACAATACTTGGCATCGAGTCTTTAATTTTAGCCATTCTGATGGTTGTGTCATGGTATTTCTTTGTCTGAATTTTTGTGTCTCAGATTACTAATGATGTCATCACTATTTAATTTGCTTTTGACCATTCCGATACCTTCTGTGAGGTGCCTGATTTTTTTCTCATTGTGTTGTTGTTTTTTTTAATTGTTAATGTATGGGAGTTCTTTATATATTATTGGTTGGGGTCCTTTGCCAGATATATGCATTGCGAGTACTTTCTCCCAGTATGTGCACGGTGCATGTTGATATCCAGCTGTGCTGAGACCAAGGAATGTAGTCAGTACATATTGGGAGGAATGATTGTTTTGACCCTAAAGGTAGCATTGATCATCAGCTCCTCCACAGCAGGCTTCAGAGAGTGGACGAATGCCTTCAAGATGCTGGGAATTCCCAGTAACCCAGCTTGGTGGAAATCACAACTCTGGTGGCCTTAGAGCTCTCAGTGAGGGGACGGGCTGCCTAGGTACTCCCTGTGGGTCTTCTCCATCTCATCAGCCTCAGCGAGTCCTCAGGCTAGAAAGAGAAGGGCATTCCCTGGAAAGGTGAATTCTTTTCTTTGTTCTCCTCTTCCCAGCTGGCATTTAACTAATGAGGTATACAGTTACCTGACTCCCACCCTCAGCATCTCATGAAGAAGGAAAAAAACTTGACCTCTATCTCCAGAAAGGAGTCTTAGCTGTTTTTTTTTTTTCCTGCTCTAACATAGCATTCCATCCTAGTTCCCTTGTCCACAGCAAATGCAGGCATTTGCGCAATGCTGCCCTGAGGGCTGTCTGGAATCTTCCTGAATTGACCCTTATCTGTGTTCCCTCCTCAGCCTTTCTGTCCCATTTCAATTGAGCTCAGTCGGCAAGAATTTATTTCTGTTATGTCTCCAGCAGTATGCTTAAGACATTTCAAGGGATTATAGCTTGTCCCTGCCATCCCAAAATCCTTCCAGGAGAGAATGACCTACACATATTTTATTAGTTTTCTATTGCTGTCGTAACAAATGACCACAAATTTGGTAGCTTAAGTAACACCTATGAGTTCCTGGTTCTGTAGGTCAGAAGTCCTGGCACAACAGGAGTGGTTTGGTTCCCTGCTCAGGGTGTCACCAAGCTGAAATCAAAGAGTTGGCTGGGCTAGTTTGTTGCCTGGATGCTCTGGGGGAAAATCTTTTTTTGAGGCTCACTCAGGTTGTTGGCAGAATTCAGTTCTTTGCAGTGGTAGGGCTGAGGTCCCTGTCTCCTTGCTGTCGATTTGTCACTGTCCACATTCCTAGCCACATGGCCTCCTCCATCTTTATTTATTTATTCATTATTATTGGGGTCTAGTTGCTTTAGAATGTTGTGTTAGTTTCTGCTGTACAACAAAGTGAATCAGCTATATGTATACCTATATCCCCTCCCTCTTGGACCTCCCTCCCACCCTCTCCCCTTCCCACCCATCTAGGTCACCACAGAGCACCCGGCTGAGCTCCCTGAGCTATACAGTAGGTTCCCACTAGCTATCTGTTTTACACATGGTAGTGTATATATGTCAATCCCAATCTCCCAACTCATCCCACCCCACTTCCCCCCACCCTGTGTCCACACTTCCATTTTCTACGTCTGCATCTCTATTCCTGCCCCACAAATAGGCTCCTCTGTACCCTTTTTCTAGATTCCACATATATGCCTTAATATACGATATTTGTTTTTCTCTTTCTGACTTACTTCACTCTGTATGACAGACTCTGGGTCCATCCACGTCGCTACAAAATGACCCAATCTCGTTCCTTTTTATGGCTGAGTAATATTCCATTGTATATATGTACCACATCTTCTTTATCTGTGAAGCCAGCTGTGGAGAATCTCTTTTGTGTCTAATCTCTCTCACACCTCAAATGTCTCTGACTTCTCTTGTCTCTGACTCTTTAGAGAGCTTGTGTGATTAGGGCAGGCCCACCAGGATAGTCTCTTGTTTAAGATCAGCTGACTTGAGACCTTAATTATATGTCAAATATAAGATATATATTGCAAATCCCTTAAATATATCTCAGATCCCTTCACAGTGGTACGTACGTTAGTGGTGCATTTGCTTAAAAATGGGGAGAAGCTGTGTGTACACCAGAGGCCGGGAATCTTAAGGGCCATCTCTGAATTCTACCCATCACATATCTGAAACAGTTAGGAAAATCTGGTCATTTCTAACCATGTCCCAAAGCCAATTATAGGTCTTCTCTGGTATTGGTGCCTTAGTGGTGGGACACAGGAAGATGAGGATTCAGCATAGGTGATGTTCATCAGAGAAGGAGAGGTGGGGAGGGAGAAGCGGGACTAGAGGTGGCCTTTGAGGGGTGGTGGGTTTGGATGGGGAAGGCCTTCCAGAGTCGGCGCCGTGTACATGTATGAGTTTGCTCAAGGTTTCATCAGTGAGAAATGAGTGGGTTTTTTAATATAAATGATTGTAGTTCTTGAGTTAAAAGGGACTTTAGAGATCTTTCAGTATCGAAATTTCAGTAGTTTCCGCTATTTTGTGTCTTACAAAAAAGCAGTGTCTGTAAAACTTTCATGGGGTTTAAAAATTTATAAAGGACATTTACATAGACATTAGAGTGCTTTTTGAAATTGGTGAAAATAACTCGATGGATTCTTAAGGTGGGTTTTACTTTCCAGAATGTGCATGCTATTTCTAAAGTAAAATTGAGTGACTAGATGAAATTTAGAGGGCTTTCTGCTTGGAAGTCCTCAGGGGTTGAAGGGAATATTTTTGATCTAAAAGTATTCTGAGCAAAGCATTTATAGACGTCTCCTTTATGTCAGCCCTAGAAAATGGTATTAAATAGTTTAATAGGACTAAAACAATATTGTTTTATTATTCCATCAAGATGAATCTTTAGTTCAACAGAAATTATTGGTGTCTATGCTTGCTAAGTTGTACACATTGTCACAGAATTACAATTCTGTGTTTGGATTTATATTTTCAGTATAAGTAATATAGTTATTGATTAATTACATCGTAATCTGGAAAGTGCCATCTCCCATCCTTTCTGGTCACGATATTTTGAAAATGATTAGTGTTAACTTGGGTTGGAGAACAGATACACTGTGCTGTGCTAAAGTGAAAGAAGTCATGATAAATAATAATAATATTTAGTGGGCATTTAGTGTGTACCAAATGTTGTTCTAGGCACCTTCTAAGTACTATCTCATTTAATTCTCTGTGAATTGTTATTCTGCAGGTAAAAAGACAGGAGCATAGAGAAGTTAAGTAACTTTTCCATGGTCACACAGCTAACAGGTTCGTAGGGTCAGTATTGGGACCCAGACAGACCGTCCAGAGTCCACGTTTTTTTCTCTTGACTGCCTCTCTTAATATCACTCTTACCAGTCTCTACCTTAGAAGATGTAATTGGATCTCTAATGTAACCAAATCCAAGGTGCAGAGAAAAGCTTTGTGGGGGAATTTTATTAGCTCAATACAGGGCATTTTAGACTTTGCAAGTGCCTATTCACGTTAATAAAATCTACAGAGAAACCTAATTGACCTATAGACTGAGTGTTACCTAACAGGCTGATTTGTGATGGTGAAGCAGTTAGCAAAGCATCTAAATAAGTTGAGAGGCAGCAGTTGCTTCTTTAGAAGGTTAGTGCAGAGTGCAGGTGATGGTACAATCTTCTGTAATTGGAGGCATCCAGAGAACACTGGACTGATTTGATGTATTCATCTAAAAAATAATCATTCTACCCCACCTTTTAAAAAAATCATGATAATGTTAGTTTTCTTTTTTCTATTTTTAAAGTGGACACAAAACGTCAGCCAGTCTTCTTCCCCCACAATTATTATAATTTGTGTTTTCTACGTGTTGATATAGTTTTCCAGAAGCTGTATTTGGTGTATAACATTGCATGCCCTGCTTTTCACTTAGCACTGTTTTCTTTTTGTTTGTTTGTTTCTGGTTGCACCACACAACATATGGGATGTGGGATCTTAGTTCCACGACCAGGGATCGAACCTGTGCCCCCTACCCTGGAAGTGCAGAGTCTTAACCACTGGACCGCCAGGGAAGTCCCACTTAGCACTGTTTCTTGACCCTTTCTCTATGTTGATAGTCTTCTCAAGGAATTAAGTGCTTTTAATTGACTTGATCGAATGTTAGGTTGCATCTCACTTTTTTGGTGTTTCAAGTAACCCTACAGTAACCCTGCAGTTTTAGACTAGGGTCAGGTATTTGAATCTAGACTACTATTAGATAGATGTAACGGGGCATTGGATTCATGAATGATAAGACAGAGGACATTTGTCTCCCTTCTGTGTAACCACAGACAGAAGGCCCCCTTTCAGTCTGAGTCAGGGCCCTGCAGGCTGCCAAGGAGACACGAAGTGGTGCATTTGGGCCTGGTCGGGCGAGCTGAGGCCTTGCTGACTCTGGAGCAGTCCTTTGATGGCGGGCCGGGTTCCTCTTCCTTGGGGCTTAATCAGTTCTTTTCGTGCTGCAAAGAGGGGACAGCCCTTAGGGCCAGGCCTCATTCCTTTCCTCTGATCTCAGGGCTTTTGTGTCTTGGGGCGGGACAGTTCAGCTCCTAAAGTCTCTTAGTGTGAATAATGGTTTAGTAACATGGAAACTATACATCATTTCAGATTGTACTTCACTGCAGCCCAGCCTCACAGACTTGAACCTCCCCTTGACAGTACGTCTCTCCCTCTCATCCCCTCACTAACAGACCCGGGCGTCCAGCATGGCTGAAGCCCAGGGGAGGGGAAGAACGAGGGCGCAGTACCATGGAGGGTGGGTTCAAAGAGGAAAGAAAAGCAGAAAACCCCGCTCAGGGCCCGGAGTCGGGTGTTCTTTTGCATCTGGTCAGAGAGGGAAGCAAGCCTTCGCTGTTGCAGAGGGAGCAAGTGGCCCCAGGTTGACGTGGCCTAGCTGGTGTCAGGATGGCATCCTTTCCTGTCCCATCCTCAGCGTGACTCCTCAGCGGGGGTTTGGCCTGCTGATGAGGGAGGAGATAAGGATGGGGTGACCAGACGAACAGGAGGGTTCGGTTGTGGAAGTCAGCGCTTGAGCGCATCACCCTCACCCGCTTCTTGCTGCTGGAGCGGCTGATGCGGACTCCCGACCCTCTCTTCCCATTGCCTCCCGTCCTCTGTCCTTTGGCATGTCCTCTCCCGGGGGCGGGCGCCCAGACCTGCCAACCCATGTGGGCTGCAAGGCACCTGCTTTCCTCCGCTGCCTCTGGGGCCGCACCCCTGCCCAAGTCCAGCGAGGTGTTCCTGTTGCATCCTCCTGGGTCTCCCGGGACCTGGGAGCAAACAGCTGACCTCAAAGGATGCCCTTGTTCCCTCCTGGCATTTCACTGTGCACCCGGCGCCTTTGAGCCCCCACTAGGAGTCAGGGAAGAAGCAGACGGAGAGAGGGAGGAACGCAGGCTGTTCTGGCCCACGAGAAAAAGCCGACGTCCCTGCTGAGGACGGTGGCCTGCAACCCAGGCGTGTTCCATGGGTAGTTCTGGAATCACCATAGGAGGCCTTGGGGCCTGGTTCTTCTTTTCCCTCTAGTATCGCTTCTGCACACTTCTGTTTGTTTATTTTCTCCCAGATGGAAACAACATTATGTAAGCAGTCATTTTCTTTATGAAAAGCTCAAATGAAGTTGAAACTTACAGTGGATCTGGCCCCGGGAAACCTCTTTCACATTCCACCTGTTTTTCTTGAGTTGGCCCTGGCTGGCTTGGCTTTTCTGCTCTGACGTGATGCTCACTGCATAGTTAGCAGGGTTGTTTTCCCCTCTCTCCCTTAACTTAGGCTGCCCTGGAGGCCCAGCCTCCTGGCAGCCCCCACCCACCGGACTGCTCCTCGCCGGTGTCTTGCTGTGCCCTTGTGAATTGTCGGATTCCTGGGGAAAATAACCCCTATCCTTCTTCTGACACTGGCAGGTGCCACCACCTCTTTTTTTTTTTTTTATTTTTTTGCGGTACGCAGGCCTCTCACTGCTGTGGCCTCTCCCGTTGACGAGCACAGGCTCCGGACGCGCAGGCTCAGCGGCCATGGCTCACGGGCCCAGCCGCTCCGCGGCACGTGGGATCTTCCTGGACCAGGGCACGAACCTGTGTCCCCTGCATCGGCAGGCGGACTCTCAACCACTGCGCCACCAGGGAAGCCCGCCACCACCTCTTGACGGAGCAGGTCCCTGTCACTCTTCTCCATCTGCATGCCAGCCATTGCTTCCTCCCCAGGGCCCGTGGCTCATTCGCTGTTAGGTTGGCAGCTGGCTGTGTGCAGGGGAGGGTCTCACATGGCCACTGTATTTTTTTAATCCTCTAAATATTTTAGTGTGAATTTCCTAAAACCAAAGGCATTCTCTTACATATATAACAGCAGTACAGTGGTCAAATTTAGGGAATGAACGTTGAAGCGACCTCATATACAGACCTTATTCTCGTCCTTTGTCTGGTCCAGGATCCAGCCTAGGCTCACACTTTGCACTTGGTTGTCATGTCTTTTTAGCCTCCTGTCATGTGGAACAGTCTTTATCTTTCATGACCATGACACTTCTGAAGAGCACCGCTCATTGTTTCATAGACTCTTCCTCAGTTTGGGCTTGTCTGATATTTCCTTGTGATTAGATTTGGGTGATACATTTTGGCAGGAGCAGAGAAGGATGCTGTTCCCTTCTCCGCGCTTCATGTCGTGGAACTTGATGTCGATCCATCCCGTTGCGGGTGATGTGTCTGTGAGCACTTAGTAAGTTAGTGTCTGCCAGTTTTCTCCACTATGAGGTTATTGTGTTCCTGTTTGTATTAAAGTATCAGTGTCTTGAGACTGTGTATATCCTGTTTCTCTTCACGCTTTTGCCAACCACTTTTAGTGTCTGTTGATGGTTCCTGCCTGCAACAGTTATTATAGTGGTGGTTGCCAAACGGTGATTTTCTAATTCCTTCTTTCCTTCTACAGTTATTAGAATCCTGCTGTGAGCAAGAGCTTTCTCTTCTCTCCCATTTCCTTTGCATTCTTACAATCAGTGTTTGTATTCGTCCATTCTCATTTTGTTCTCTGGGTCACAATCCATTACTAGCCTTCTTCATTCAGTCTTTCATACATTTATTTGTTTGTTTATTTGTAACAGCTTTATTGAGATATAATTTGTATACCGTAAAATTCACGCCTTTAGAATGTACAGTTCAGTGGTTTATAATAAATTTACTGAGTTGTGCTACCATCACTACTATCTTATTGTCGAATATTTCCATGACCGCCCAAAGCAACCCCCTCCCCATTACCCGTCACTCCCCATTCCCCTGTCCTGCCAGCTCCTGATAAACCCCTCATCTACTTCCTACCTCTATGAATTTGACTACTTTAGGTACCTCAGATAAGTGGAATCATACAATATGTGGCTTTTTGTGTCTGGCTCTTTCAGTTAGCATAATATAGTCAAGGTTTATCCACGTTGTAGCATGTGTCAGTACTTCATTCCTTCTTACAGTTGAATAATACTCCATTGTATGGATAAGCCACTGTTTATGCATTCATTAGTTGATGGACATTTAGGTTGTTTATGCTTTTGAGCTATTATGAATAACGCTTCTATGACTATTTATATATGGATTTTTGCATAGACATATGTTTTCAGTTCTCTTGGGTATATACCTAGGAGTTGAATTTGGGGGTCATATGATAATTCTATGTTTAACATTTTGAGGACCCAGTAGACTGTTGTTTTTTTTATTACATCTTTATTGGAGTATAATTGCTCTACAATGTTGTGTTAGTTTCTGCTTTATAACAAAGTGAATCAGCTATATGTATACATATATCCCCATATTCCCTCCCTCTTGCGTCTCCCTCCCACCTTCCCTATCCCACCCCCTCTAGGTGGTCACAAAGCACCAAGCTGATCTCCCTGTGCTATGCAGCTGCTTCCCACTAGCTATCTATTTTACGTTTGGTAGTGTATATATGTCCATGCCACTCTCTCACTTCATCCCAGCTTACCCTCTACCCGCCTGCCCCCCCACCCCGTGTCCTCAAGTCCATTCTCCACGTCTGTGTCTTTATTTCTGTCCTGCCCCTAGTTTCGTCAGAACCAATTTTTTTTAGATTCCATATATATGTGTTAGCACACAGTTTCTGTTTTTCTCTTTCTGACTTACTTCACTCTGTATGACAGACTCTAGGTCCATCCACCTCACTACAAATAACTCAATTTTGTTTCTTTTTATGGCTGAGTAATATTCCATTGTATATATGTGCCACATCTTCTTTATCCATTCATCTCTCGATGGACACTTAGGTTGCTTCCATGCCCTGGCTATTGTAAATAGTGCCAGGAGACTGTTTTTCAAAGCGATTGCACCCTTTTACATTCTCACAAGCAATGTATGAGGGTTCTAGTTTCTCCACATCCTCACCAACACATTATTATGTCCTTGAGTGTAGCCATCCTAGTGTGTGTGAAGTGATATCTCATTGTGGTTTTGATTTCTATTTCCCTACTGACTCATGATGTTGAGCAAATTGTCCAGATTTGGCCAGTGGGAACCTCTTCAAACTGACTCCTATGTCCTTTAATTTACGCCCATCACTTTTCGAGTGCTGTAATGGACTTGAACTGTGTCCCTTCAAGGTTCATATGTTAAAGTCCTAACCCCCAGTATGCCTCAGAATGTTACTGTATTTAGAAATAATGCCGTTAAGGAGGTAATTAAGGTTAAATGAGGTCATAAGGGTGGAGCCCTAATTCAGTATGACTGGTGTCCTTATAAGAAGAGGGAAAGGGATGGGGTGGGGAGGCCGTGTATACAGAGAAAAGACCATGTGAGGACACAGTGAGAAGATGGCCATCCACAAGCCAAAGAGATAGATCTCATAGAGAACAGACTTGTGGTTGCCAGGGGATGGGGTGGGGGGAGGATGGGTTGGGAGTTTGGGGTTAGCAGGTGCAAACTATTATATATAGAATGGATAAACAACAAGGTCCTACTGTATAGCACAGAGAACTATACTCAATATCCTGTGATAAACTGTAGTGGAAAAGAATATGAAAAAGAATGTATATATATGTATAATTGAGTCACTTTGCTGTACTGCAGAAATTAATACAACATTGTAAATCAACTATACTTCAATAAAATAAAATTTTAAAAAACAATTTTAAAAAAAGAGAGAGAGAGACAGGTCTCAGGAAAACCCAACCCTGCTGACACCTTGATCTTGAACTTCTAGTCTCCAGAACTGTAAGAAAATAAGTTTCTGTTATTTAAACCACCCAGTCTGTGGTATTTTGTTAGGCAGCTCTAGCAAACTGATACAAGCGTTTTCTTACTTTCTGGCGCCACAAGGCTCATCTTGTACTTCCCTGCCCCAGCCCTGGAATCAGCCATTTCTTCAAAGATTACTAGTTCTTGGAGAACAATATTTAGAAACCAGGATCTATACCTGGTGTCCCTATTGTTTATTGTTCCCAGCCATCTCCATGGAAGAGCTAGGAAATGTAGGGGTGTGTGTGTGTGTGTGTGTGTGTGTGTAAGCACCCCCCATGCTTTGACATCATATAGAATTTAAGAAACTCATGAGGCTAATGATAGTCTATTATATGTACCCCAGTTTTTTTCACTCATTCCATTGTTCCCCTTTTCTTTCTGAAGTTCCCAGTCTTCTGTTATTGTTTTTTTATGTTTTCATAACAGTAGGTGATATCTGGACTTTCCAGTGCCATTGGATATGAGTTTCAGGAAACACTGAGCCTGGATCACTTAATGCCTCTGTATCCATTTCTGTGTTTATCTGTCTGTATATATGTTAGAAACCATGAATTCCTATTGCTAACCTGTGATTTCCATCCAATAGCACAAGGTTCATTATAGCCGCCCCTCATTCCTTATTTGCCTCATCTTAGAAGATGTGTAGTTTCAGAATTATTAACCGGTACCCTTGTGAGAAACAAACCTACCAATTGTTCCTGGTTCTTTTTGCCTCTAACCTTAGGTTATATGGTAAGAATACTATGTTCACATCACTAACGTTATTTCTCCCTTCCTCCCCTTCAGTGTGGTTGAGTTATTCATTCAAACCTCAGTTAAATTGGTTTTTGTTTGTATTCCATTTTCTCTATCTGCTGCCCGATCCTTGCTGGTTGGTTTTATTTATTTATTTGTTTGTATGTGAAACTTTAACATGGTTCAAAAGGTCAAAACTTTACAAATAACTATACTTGGAGAAGTTTACTCCTCTCTCATCCTTTCCCATCTCCCCTTCCTCCCACCCTGTTCCCTTGTGCCCTATAGGTAACGAAGCCCAGTCGTTTCTGAATTATCCTTCCTGTGTTTCTTTGGGTTTGGCCACTGCATCCCATCCAGAGACGATTCCTTACAGTGAACTCCGGAGCATACACATCTCAAATACTGATGCTGGCATGGAGTGACGCTGCGTTGTCTTATTCCTTAACTCCAGTCAGTTAATCAGTCAGTGATTATTTGGGGCTTACTCTGTGCCAGGCACTGGGTTAGATGCAGGGCACGGAAGCCTGGGCCAGATGGTGAAGCAGGTTGTTCTGACCCCCTGTGCCTTCTCACCCTTGGAATCTGTCCCTTCCCTCATCTGCTCACCTCTCTCCTTTGTCTCTCCTTCTTCTGGTCTGTTGTTCCCTGCCTGTTTCACAAAGCTGTTGTTATTTCAGTGACTAACCAAGACTTAAATACTAACTATCAGTCATGTATCCAATTTATGATATTACTCTTACAAATAGTCAACACTAAATAACATTGACAACTGGCCAGAACTACTCAAGCTAACGTTGGTTACTGATTAAATGTGATGGGAAAAATCAAATCTTCCTCATCAGATTGGGTCTCTCAGGACACATGTATGTGCAGAAATACTATGACCATGAAGGAAAAATCCCAAGGGCAATAAAAAGTTGGTTATGTACAAAATGCTAAATCTAATCTTTGTTGCAAAAGTAAAACTGGCATGGACTAATCCCAATGGAAATTTTAGTGGAGCATAAATAAAAATGGAAAAAAAAGGAAACTCTTTATGCTTACAGAAAATGACTCCATGGATTCTGGACCAGAAAATACAAAATACAGGAGGGAGGGGTGCCAGAGGGGAGGCTGGAGAGGAGGCCAGGGGGCCAGACTTGTGCCTAATTCCCAGGGCAGTGGGAAGCACTGATGAGCTGTAAATAGGGGAGTTACGTCAAGTTTACATTTAGAAGTGTGTCGCTGAGTGTGCTGTAGAAAACGGAGAGGGCAAGATGTGTGCTTCTGAGGCCCTCCCCTGAACCCCAGAGCTGAGGAAGGGCCAGATAAAGGCGAAGGACTGGGGAGGGAGGGGAGGATAGGAAAAGAAAGAGAGAGGGAACTGTAGCTATAGATGGTGGGAAAAGGTTGCGAAATTGGAGGCGTCTTAGTTCTTAGAGAGCTAGGCCTTGGAGGGGAGAAAAGTTAGGAAAGACCGTGAATAGGGGGAGGATAAGGTGAGGGGCAGTCCAGATAGAAGAAGGGTTGTGGGCAGAGGAGAGGGAGCACAGACCCACAGGAGAGACCCTGGAGAGGAGTCTCGGAAGGTGTGTGAGAAGAAACTGTTTGGGGAACTATTGCAGCAGGGTGGGTGGTCCCTGTCTCCCCCACCCCCCAGAACTCTCATACACTCCTGCTGGGAGTGTCAAAGAGTGCAGCCGTTTAGGGAAATGATCTGTCAGTTTCTCATAAAGTTTATTCACCCTATAACCCTTTCCACTAGTAGGTATTTACCCAGGAGAAGTAAAGACACATGTCCACATAAAGACTTGTACAGAATGTTCACAGCAGCTTTGTTTATAATAGCTGAAGACTGAAAATGACCCACATTTCATCAACAAGAAAATGGACAGACACAT